GGGGGCTTTGGTCAAAGATCCATGCAAGACCCGAGGCAGAACCTGGTCCAGGGATCCTCTTGCATACTGTTTGCTTCTCTTGGTGACAGTTTCAGCCCACTTCCCATCAGCCACGGCTATTTATACTCAGAGTCGCAGATTCCACAGCTGTACAGAGTGCCTCTGAGTGCCTCTGAAGTCAATTCCTTCTCCCTTTCTCGCAGGGAAGATTCACAAAGTTGTTGTGGGAGATACTCTTGGAGAAAAGGCAGAACTCATCTAAGGGTGGAGGAGGGTTCTCTTGTTCCCAACTTCTTCTGTCTGAGATGTTGGTAGTTTCTCATCTGTCATTCCCAGATGCCCCCATCCCTGTTATGATGAAATAAAGGTTTGGTCCTTATCTTGACCTTGCAGAAAAGGTGTTTTTCTCTTGGCCATTTCTATGAAGACTCTACAAGTCCTCAGGTTAGGGTCATTCTATAAGTCAAGCTACTAAGTCTGGCTGGATAAAGAGAAGAGACCTGGGGGCAAAGCCAGTCAGTACTGATGGTTTTGGGGAGGTGGTGTCAGGAAGGGCATTGCAACATGATGCCAGACAACTTGTGAGGCTTGGAGAGAATTGGTATCTAGACCAGGCTCTGCCACGGATGGGCTGGAGCAACCCAGGCAATCCGTTCACCTCTCTGGCCCCAGCCTTCCCATCTGCGAAGGAAGGGCGCTGCTCGCAATGACCGCTCAGGTTGCTTTCAGCTGTGAAACCCTGTGATTGCTGCAGCGATCATTTTCTCTGTTTCTGTGAAACAGTAACAGCTTTGGGGTTAGAAAGTGATCTAACAGCATTGCTCCATGAATGAAAATGTGTCTAAGCATTTTGCTGAGAACAGCCCAGTTTCCCGCCTAGAAAGACAACACCCTCTTCTCCCCACAAGTGCAAATGGGGAGGTGGTGGCAGAAATGAAGACTGATACCACCACTTTGTATTTTTACCTTTCATGATAAAACAGTAGTTTTAAAAATTGTAAAAATGTACCCGCTTGACAAATGGCACACTTAAAACCCGATTTAGCAAGGGGTTTTTACCTCTGTAATTTTAAAACCTGTCACTTGAACTAAAAATATAGGTGAGCAGGTTGGCCTTTCATATTTAATGTTTTTCCTTTTTCTCTTTTTATTTGCAATTCATTCTGTTCAGCTTTGATTAAAGCGGTAGTGGAAATGAAATGGAGAATGACCGGTCCTTGGTTAATTCATTACTGAGAAGATGGTGGGTGTGACTCTTCCCACCCATTCGGAGTTGAAACTTATTAACACCAGTCCTGGTGGGATTCGACGTGTTAGCCATATATCTTACCCTTAAAGATGAACGCAGAATCTCCTAAGAATATTTGACTTTAAGAGGACAAATATAACTGGAGGATTGCTCTCTCTCCTAAATCGAAATCCCAAGGTTTTGCATATTTGTTAAAATAAGTACGTTATGGCCCCAGATGAATTGGTAATTATAGCAAGTCAGAAGCTTCTGGACCAGAAGTGAGAACCCGGGGTGGCCTGGAGTGTGGAATATTAAAAGCTACTATGCAGGATTAATGGGATGTTTACAAATGTGCTTTCCATTTTTAGGTGAGAATTTAGGCAACTCGCTCTTTGAACTTTAGTGACCTGATCTATAAAGTGAGTTGAAGTAGCTGCAAGCAAATGCTTCTGTATATTCTACAATTTTTAATTAAGCTTTTTTTTTTTTCTTGTTCAGGACTTATCTCCCGAAGGGCACTTACATATTGTTGGAATCCGCAGAGTTAAAGACTTGTTCCAAGGGGCAGCGGAGCACAGAGGAGAAAACTCGGCACCAGGTTTGGGGTTGGTCCTAGGCCTTGTGGGTGTGGGGACCTCGGGCAAGTCACCAAAAGGCTTCCCTATTTGTAAAAAGCCTCTCTCCTAGAAGTTCTTTTAAGGCTCAGATGAGATAACAGAACTGCAGGCTTCCAAAAGGCAGTATAAGTGGAAGGTATTTGTATAAAAGAGTATTGATGGAAACATCTTTATGCACCCGTGCACTTCATTATTGAACTGTTTATTCAGTTATTAGCTGTGATTAGCTTCTGATTCCAGACTGTTGATCTGTCATGTGAGCATAATACATGTGTTCACAACAATGGTGGGTCTGAATAATACCAGCGTGTCTGGGGCTGACCTCCCCAAAACCACTGCCCTCGAGTTCCATTGATCAGTGCCAGGCAGTGTAGATGGCACTGAGGGGTCATCAAAGCCCTCACCCTGAGGTGAGCATGCTCTTTATAGCTTCCTTCATGGGTGTCAGTGGAAACTCTGCTTGAACGTCTCAAGTGACAAAGGGGGTAATTGAGGTGAGGGGAAGGAGACTTACTATACTGAACAATGTGCTTTGTGCAGAGGCTGCGATAGGTGCTTTATGCCCCTCAGCTCCTTTCAGTTTTCTCACCATCCCTACAAGTTGACTTTCATTATCCCCATTTTAAAGATGAGGGAATTGAGCTGAAGAGGTTAATTAAATGATGAGATGGACACACTAAATGATAGAGTTGGAATGAAACTAGAGATCTTCGTCCACATGCCACATACAGCATTTCCTGAGAAACGTATTGTTGCCCTTGAGAGATTCCCCCTCCTTTTGTTAAAACAGAACAAAACTCTTCCTTAGAGCTCGGAGATGGCTACTTAAAGCATGGTCCACAGACCAGCATCCTGGGGGGCCTCACCAGTAGCTTGTTTGAAATGTAGGAACTTGGCCCGACCTCTGGTCTGCTGTTTCAGAATCTGCATTCCAGCAAGACCCTGAAAGTTTGAAGATTACTATCTCGAGTGCACAGAGCTGATGACCTTTCTCCTTTTTAAGACGGCTTTCTAAATATCTTTCCTGACTGCATCAGAACTTTTGTCTCAGGCAGAAACATATGCCCGGGACACCTTCAACTCTTGCTTTTCAAACACATCTCAGACTCCTATAAGTCTCTGTGGAGCTTCCTAGTCTAACTTGAGAGAGGCGATCCCTTCTCTGATCTCCAAAATGTACATATCATAACCTTTCCTGCCCTCTCCCCTGTGAAAAATGCCTGGATACTTGTGATTCTGTGAATTGTAGGTCTTCCTCTGCATAATTACCTGTCAATCAGTCAATCAAAAGCCAGGTAGAGGAACTGAGGCTTTATGGGTTAAGTTCGTAAGCAGGGATGTGACATGTAGAATATGGTGAAATCAGTGGAAATGGGGAGATTTACCTTGTATTTTGCAGGTGGGTTACAGAGGTAAGAGAATGAAGGCTCTGAAAGTCATTACAAAAGACAGAAAATAGAGCCCATTGAAAGCTTTTATGGGCTGTCATCTGATGCATTGACTCATTGGTTTCATGTGATGTAAATTTATTCCCTTGATAAATGAACCAAATTTTGTCAAAATTAGTCAACTCATTTGAGATTTATTATGGAATAAACACACAGACATGTGCAATTTATAGAACAATTAATTTGAAACTCTATCCAGACCATTATTATGGTGTCTGCCATATATTTATAACTAAGCATTCGTGCCATTATTAATATGCTGATCATCAACACCAGTCTTTCCTTAGGAGGGCAGAGCCTGCCTGTTAATTTGCTTTCAGAGATGCAGCTGTAGTTGATAAAGTGACGCTCTTTCCCCTTTTTGGAATGTATACTATGGGATATAAAACACTGTTTCTCCCAGGAAGATACCAAGTCTAACCAGAGAACTCTACCCAGTCACCAACACCAGAGACAGAGGGAGGTAGGCTCTTCCCAGATGAGAAGGGGATTGGGTCTCTGCTTTCTGACCTGTAATCTTGTTTCTTGCTGCTTCCTCCGCCTTTCGTCTGCCCATCTCAGCCAACAGGGAATTGCCCTGTAACTCCTCCCTCCTCTGCACTCCACTCCTCTAACGTATTTCTTTTACACTGCTGATGGTGTCCAAAAAAGGACTTCAAAACCTCACGCCTCCCAGAACAATGAAAAGAGAATCAAGCAAAGAAATTTCAGAACCACCGGACTTGGGTTATTGCTTAATTAATGCCTCCAAATTAATATAGACCAAGGACCTTCTCCTGGTCGTGTTTCCAGAAACAGAAAAACTGAATCCTGGGAGTCATAAAATAATTTCAACCGAAATAATGTCTGAAGAGAGCAAACCCTATGATAGTCCGAGTCCAGGACCCCTGCTGTCATCTCTGACCTGTGTATTTCATTATACTGAATAACTCTGTTAAATTAAAACATATTATTGAAGTATAGTTGATTTACAATGTTGTGTTAGTTTTCAGTGTACAGCATAGTGATTCAGTTATACATATTCCTTTATATTATAAGAATATTCTTTTTCATATTCTTTTCTATTATAGGTTATTACAAGATATTGAATATAGTTCCCTGTGCCATCCAGTAGGACCTTGTTGTTTATCTGTTTTATATATAGTAGCTAGTGTCTGCTAATCCCTAACTCCCAGTTTATCCCTCCTACTGCTTTTCCCCCTGGTAACCATAAGTATGTTTTCTATGTATGTGAGTCTGTAAATTTTTTAAAGCACAGTTTTCCTTTCCTAAAAAGTGGGTTGAAATTGTCATTCTCATCTTTCTGTCACCAAGGGGGAGCTCTCCTGTGTAATGCTGGAGAGGAAGCTAAATTAAATACCAGCACCTGGGACATGATAAGAGTATCTCTCCTTTCGTTGCTTGTCCTAAACAGAGAGACCCCTTGACTTCTCACTCAGTAAGGGAGTAGATTCCATAGTTACTAGAGAAAAGACCCCAGGAATAATACTTGAGAACCTTATGAATATAAATAATATTCAATATAGAATTCAGACAATAGGGGGAGGGTCTTTATAAAAAAAAAGATTTTATTCACATCTCTGATCTTTGTACAACTTGAAATAAAAACTCCAAATTACCTTCTTATCAACTAAATGACTTAATGGCTTTGGAGAAGAGTCTAGCCAAAAGAGGGCTCGCTCCTGCCTCTTGATGTTTCTTATACCATTTCGTGTATGTGTCTTGTGGGTGAGACGAATGGCAAAAATCTCTTGCGTTTTATGCATTTTTGTGTGGCTCGTAGTCTGTCCATCAACTCCCCATGTGCTGGATGGTTGCAGAGGAGGGAGAGCAGTGGTTTTGGCTGACATTCACTCATCTGGGAGGGATAGAGAGCCTCGCTGGAGCAGAGGCCATCTTCAGAGTTGCCAAGGCTGAGAGTGAAGCTCCCTGTTGGTAGGAGCTTGGCATCTGCTTTCACACCTTGGGCTGGACTTTGGAGACCTGAGGTGCAACAGTGGTGGCAGAAGGTATGTTTGGGAAATTTATTCATATTTATGGCTGAGCAGGACGTATGTCATTCCTGTTGGAAGGATTTCCATTATTGTACACATAATTAATTCTCTATTGTTTATCCTGAGATTGTGATTTTTGCTTTGGAGACTCTAAAAGCAAGGGAAAGATCAATCTATGTAATCTACAAGTGGGGAAAATTGATCTGATACCTTATATCAGAATCAATCCATGTAGCAGGAAGGAGGCAGTAATGGGAGAAAGGTTATAGCATTGTTTAGAGATCCTTCAAATGACTGTGGGTGGAGATAGATAGGATTGTAGCAAAGCCTTAACAGCCATGCAGGAGGGGACTTAATAGCTTATGAGGAGTGACCCTCAAGCCCCATAAATGGCTAGTGAACTGGGTCATCAGCACAGAAGTAGGTATTAGATTCAGAAAGCTATTAGATAAAAGCTCATCAACAACTTTGAGTGCCCATGGTCGGTCAGGCCCCTGGGTAAGGTGAGGGAAGTGATGCTGCGCAGTGAAATGAGCTGTGGGTCCAGAGCTCCTGGAAACCCAGCCTCGCTCTAGCATTTACTAGCACCCCCACCTTGAGTAGGATATGCCATCATGTTTAGCATCTATTTTTTTTTCACCTGTAAAATTAAGATCAATTGTTGTTTGGAGGATTTAGCACGTATTTAGGAGTATTTCGGGTGCCTAGTACCTAGAATGCTGCAGTAAACATTAGCTTTTTCCCCCTTCCCCTACTTAGGGGCTGTGGGAGTTGTTAAGAGAAGTCAGAGGTGTTTGGGAACTTAAAGCGTTCATGTTCCATTGGGGAAAAGAGACACGCACACAGCTGACGATCATGTGGGGCTAAATGAAGTAAGTGTGTTAATAAGAGAGAGATCAAAGGACCCAGGAGACACAGGTATGATTGATTCTGCTGGGAAGTGGCATGGGAAGGCTTTTGGAGGCAGGTGACATTAACAAAGGTCCCGAAGGATTCGAAACAGTTGCTTCTGATCTTGCTGATGAGAAATACCCAGGAATTTTTTGAGTCAGAGCCGTCTACTCAAAAAAGACTAGTAGAGTGTGGAGGAACCAAGCTTATTAAGAAACATACACACACACACACACACACACACACACACACACACACACACACACACACACACAACAACAGATG